AGATCATGACCTGAGCCGAAGTCGGACGCTTAACTGACCGAGCCCCCCAGGCGCTCTGGAAGTAGGTGTTTTAAAGAACTTCCGTAGCCACAAAGTTTCTACCCTCAAGTTTGATGGTTTGAACTGTAAAGAATTCTGGTTCGGAAATAACTTTTGTTTACAATTTTGAAGTCATCGTTCTATCGCTTTCTTGCTTTCTTTCAGTCTTATGTCGAGAAATCCAAGCCATTCTGATCCTTCGTCCTTCACCCTTTTTCTTCTTATTCCAATTCTCTATGGTCTTTAGCAGGGTGACTGCTTCAGTGCTGTCACCTTGCGCTAATTTGGCACTGTTTCTCCGGAACTTCTGTTTCGCTCTGCTCTTCTGCGGGTGACAGCTCCTGGATTCCTACAGCAGGTCCTTTCTCCTCGGCCTCATATTCCTTTTATGCCTAATTTGCTATCGTCTTTGAGCACGGTGCAGGGGGTGGGCTTAGCTGAAGGTCAGGGGCACCGGCTGGGCTCCTCTGTCCCGCAGGACCCCGGGTCGGAGGCAGGAGGCCCCGCTCCTCCCCGGCAGAGGGAAAGGGAAGAGCTTCCCCACTCCTTGGAGCGCCATTGGGTGTCAGCTCCGTTCCCCAATCAGCATGGGCCCCGAGGCTTCCCGCTGGTGACACGAAGCCATGCCCGGATGCTGATGGTTCCCTGTGACCCCTCATCCCCACCTCAGCCATTTTCACCGCCCCATGGTCAACACTAAGAAACACGCAATTACTCCCTTTTATCCTCTCAAGATTTGAGCGAGAACTGCCAGGATTTTGTAGACTCACCAGATGCGGTTTCTGGGAGCTGGTGGCCTGACCTCACCGTGATCCTCTCCAACTTCTGTTTTTCTTATGAGCTAGCACTTTTCCAAGTTCGTTTCGCTGAGTGGTTCTCCTTTTCTTGTTTGGTTGCTGTTAGTAACTTTTACATTTTTGTTTTCCATCGCTCCCTCTTTTTCTTGGAGAGACGTGAGAGGGAGAAGGAAGTTTCTTTTTCCTTTTTCTAGATAGTGGGGCCCTGAAGATTTCACCACCTTTATCCGGAATTTAATGACACACATTTTTTTTTTTTTAAGTTTATTTATTTATGACACAGAGAGCTAGCAAGCGTGAGCTAGGGAGGGGTAGAGAGAGAGGGAGACACAGAATCAGAAGCAGGCTCCAGGCTCTGAGCTGTCCGCACAGAGCCCGACGCGGGGCTCGAACCCACAAACCGTGAGATCATGACCTGAGCTGAAGTCAGACGCTTAACTGACTGAGCCCCCCCCGGGCGCCCCTAATGACACACATTTTTCAACTTTAGGTAGATGTATTGAATGTGTAGAATATACACCGTACGTTTTAATATTTAGAACGCAGGCTTCACATTTTTCATCTCTTTCAAGTTAAAAAACACAAGTTACACGTGATCCATCTATCAGGATGCTTTAGCTTGCAAACAAAAAGACTATTCAACTGCACCTATTGACATGGTAAAATTTTATTGGCACAGGAAGGAGTAAACTCCAGAGGTAGGACAGCATTTAGTGCATTTTGATACAAACTATTTTGACTTGGAATAAAAGTCACAAAACGCGAAATTCACCATTTTAACTGTTTTAAAGGGTAGGGATGCCTTTTTCAAAGGGAACAACTCAACCCTATTTGTCCTTTGAAGCAAGCTAATTTTGACAGGCCAGCGCTGCTGAATCTCAGGGATGCCCCCCACTGGTCACCTCTATCAGCGAGACTACCACGGAACATGGAGAAAAAGCCTCCTTCTGCTGGATTTCCTCCACCAATTCAACTGGGATGGGAAAGTGACCTTTGACCTGCAAATGGCGGGCTTCCTCCTTTATTCTGTTGTCAGTGAGGTTTCGAACAACAACAACAACAAAATAATAATGAAATAAATAAATAAATAATACGATAATTAAAAAAAAAGAGAAAAGTAACTTAAGGACTAAGGATAGCACTTGAACTTGGATTGCGTGGATTTATACACAGTGGTGATAACACCGGTGGGGGCGAGAAAGCACAGGCATCGTTCCGAGGCTTTCCCGGGCATATGTGTGGCTTCTCTGGGCACCTCTGACTTCTTATTTTTAGTGACATTCAAATCAACAAACAATTACTGTGTGCCTCTTATTGCCAGGCATGATGCTAAGCACTGGAGATTAAAGAGGATCAATATCTTGGGGCTCCTGGATGGCTCAGTCGGTTAAGCCACTGACTTTGGCTCAGGTCATGAATTCGAGGTCTGTGAGTTCGAGCCCCGCGTCGGGCTCTGTGCTGACAGCTCAGAGCCTGGAGCCTGCTTCGGATTCTGTGTCTCTCTCTTTCTCTGCCCCTCCCTGCTCCTTCTCTCTCTCTTTCTCTCAAAACTAAGTAAACACTTTAAAAATAATAAAAAAAATAAAAAAGATCAAATATCTCAACAGGTGACAATGTATTTGCCTAAAAGGTTACCCTTTAAAAATATAATTACTTAATTGGATCTCAATTGCAAGTCAATTTAGTTAAGTATAAAGCAGCTAACTCGAGCAATATGACATTATTTTAGGATAGTCTTCCAATGCAAAGCATTAAGTGTGTTGGCATGTAATCCTATTAAATATTACTGCTCTGGGAATCATAATCTATTTTAATGAAAATAGAAAATAGAAAATAATATGCCTAGAAACAAACAACAGAAATGACATTTTCTAGTTCAAAATATGTTTCAGCTCCATGAATGGGCATTCCCTGCTTGCTCGTGCGTCTAGCCTATTGATTGATAATGTTTGAAAACTTGACGGGTGTGTATTTTCAGATCTCACCTGGGGTTGAGGTCGCTACACTGAAACTCAGTTACGAATGAAAACTTTTCGTGCTTTTCATTTATGCAGATGGCCAACAGACACACGGAGAGATGCTCAACATCACTCGTCACCAGGGAAATGTCAATCGAACCACAATGAGATACCACCTCGCACCTGTCAGAATGGCTAAAATTAACAACTCAGGAAACAACAGATGTCGGCGAGGAGGTGGAGAAAGGGGAACCCTCGTGCACTGTTGGTGGGAATGCAAACTGGTGCAGCCACTGTGGAAAACACTGGAGAGGTTCCTCAAAAAATGAAAAAGAGAACTACCCTATGATCCTGCAATTCTGCTTCTGGGTATCTATCCAAAGCACACGAAAACACCATCTCGAAAAGATAGGTGCACCCCCTGTTTATTGCAGCATGCTTTACTATGGCCAAGATAGTATAGAGAAAGGAATATTACTCCGCCATAAAAAATAATGGAACCTTGCCATTTGCAATGGCATGGATGGACCTCGGGGGCGTCATGTTGAGTGAAGTAAGTCAGACAGAGAAAAAGATACCTTGTTGATCGAGCATCACACTGCATTAACACTGGGGTCTATTTCTGGCCTTTCTGTCCTGTTTCCTTCGTGGATTCTCAGGTCTCAGATTCTCCGGTTCGGCGTGGAGGACACGAAGGAGGGCGAGGGAGGGACGTTGTCCTCCAGTTCACGGCTGTCGAGCAGAGAAGTGGGGCCGGTGTGGACACCCTGCCGTTCTCTAATGGAGATCTGCTTCGAGTGTTGCGTTTTTCTGATGTTTCCGGTGTCCTACAGGAGGGCGTGTGGCTGAACAATGAGGACAGACCGCTCTACACTCTGCGTCTTCGTGTAGACCCTGCTGGGCACGCGTACGTATTAGAAGTGTGTTAAACCGTAATTTGTGACGTAGGATGTGTTTATGTCAGTGGCCAGTGGGTGTTGTCGTTTGAGTAACGGATTTCACTCGCTTTCCTCCTTTCGGTGTTTGACATTCTAGAGACCCCTTGATAGGAACTGTACATCGGAGCGACATTTCTGTGAAACGAAACAGATGCACCGACCACACGGAACCGATCCTGTTTACCTTGCCCGCTGTTACGAGGACCGCGGCTTGCGGGGCAACATATAAACACGTTCTCTGCTCTGACCTTCTGTATTAGAGAAGGTACGTTTTACAGCGTGCTTGGACCCTTGAGGATTTAGACGGGATCGCCCCTGGAGGATAGGCAGCTTGGGGCAGCAGGACACAGAGGGTGCATCTGTGTCCTGTGTTCCCGCCCTGCTCCTGGGAGCTGCCCGGGCATCAGCCCTGGTGACCAGGAGGGTGTGGTTTGGGACATCCCAAAGGCGTCCCTCATTCTGCACTCTCCCTACTTGTCAGAGCCGCATGGAGGGCTGAAGACGTCCTGAGCACCCGAGCACGAGAACACCTCAGCATCAGAGATCAGGGAGAAGAGCCACGTTTCCATCGGACTGGACGGTCCCCTGCTGTCCACCGGCCTCGGCATCTCTGCTCTCCAGGTGGGTCTCAGCGGACAAGCGGCAATGGGAGCTCCAAGGCCGTTCCTGGGTGTGCAGCTGCGGGAGTGGAGGGGGTCAGAGGGGGGGTGGTGAGAAAGGCAGGGAGACGAGGAGGCGGCCGGCCGGCCATTGGGCTCAGGGGAGCCATCATCAGATGGGCACCTTCAGACTCATAGCAGCAGCTGAAATAGGAGGTGGTGGGTCCTCCAGCCCCAAAGCCCGGAGGGCACTCGGCTCCCTCTGGGCCTTGACCAGAGGTTGTGTGAGCCTCCGGCTGTCTGTACCGACCCCACAAACCCGCCGCCTCCCCGCCCCGGAACTCAGAGGCCTGGGTCAGAACAAGCCCGGCCCCGTGAGGTGGCCCCCACATCTAGAAATGTTTTGTCGTCTCAGGGAAAGGTTTTTAACAGGAGCTTTTGCTTATTTTTTTTTTTTTTTTTTTTTCCTCTTAGACATTTAAAGACACTATCAACGGCATCCGAGATTGGCAAAGGACAGGTGCAGGTCAGATCTGGCCGGTGGCCTCCCTTACCCAACCTCTCGTGGCAAGAATGGCTTTTACATTTTTATTATTATCAGTTTATACATTTTTTGAAGTTTATTTATTTTTGAGAGAGAGACAAAGAGAACGCGAGCAGGGGAGGGGCAGAAAGAGAGGGAGACAGAATCCGAAGCAGGCTCCAGGCTCCGAGCTGTCAGCACAGAGCCGGATGCGGGGCTCGAACCCACGAACCGTGAGGTCATGACCTGAGCCGAAGTCGGACGCTCAACTGACTGAGCCACCCAGGTGCCCTGTTTTTACATTTTCAAAGGGTTGTTAAACACACACACACACACACACACACACACACACACACACACTGAACAAAGTAGGCCGTGCTCCAGAAATTCTACATGGCCCCCCAACCTCCCAGTTTTATATCTGTTTCCATGCAGAAAAAGTGTGCCGGTCTGTGTCGTAGAAAGTCTACATTATTCAAGGAGCTTACCAAGTAAGAGTGCCAGCATCGTGCATCGTCCTCTACCTGAATTCCTTGCCAAGTCAGAGCAGGACGAGAGTGCAGCCTTCCTCATTAAGGAAAATGATAGAAACGATGTAATCGGAAGTTGGAAAGCACGGTGGAGTCATAGGACTGAGCAGCTATGGGGAGCTGAGCTACCCAGGTCTTAGGGAAAAGAAATACGGGTCTCCAGACCCTCAGGGCCCACTGAGGCTGCCTGCAGTCAGACGCCTGCTGCCTTCTGCCATTCACACCTCCTCCGGGCAGCCAGCGATTAGGTCTGGGCTTATATTAAATCTCAGCTTAGGGGCACCTGGGTGGCTCAGTCAGTTGAGCGTCCGACTTTGGCTCAGGTCATGATCTCGCGTTCCGTGAGTTCGAGCCCCGCGTGGGGCTCTGTGCTGACAGCTCAGAACCTGGACCCCGCTTCGGATTCTGTGTCTCCCCCTCTCTCTGCCCCCTCCCCGCTCATGCTCTGTCTCTCTCTGTCTCTCAAAGGTGAATAAACGTTAAAAAAAATTAAATCTCAGGTTAAATAAGAGCTATTTGTCATAAGCTTGCCCACTCTTCCTCTTTTCTATAGAATAATGAGAGGAAGGAAACAAAAACCATAAAAGGCAAACAGTTCTATTTTTCTCTCACTGGAAGGAATGCTACTACATGAACTTTGTAAAGGGATGAATCTATTCAAAAACGTTACGTGCTTACATAGCAGTATTCGGTTCAAACATCCAAACCCTTAGTTTCAATGTGTGGTGCTCACTTTAAGTTCTCAAAATTATATTAAGGTTTTAATGGTTTTGAAATTGTCCATTTTCTCTCACGGATGGCAATGAGAAGGAGGTTTGTTGATTTGTTTCATCTTTGGGCATCTCGAATGGGGATCCGGATTTGAGTACACACGAAGGGATTAAAAATGCATTATTACTCAGTACACAAAACAAATTTGACGCAGAAATACAGAAATAAATGGAAATCTGTCCTTTATTTATTTTGAAGATTTTATTTATTTATTCATTTATTCATTTTAAACGTTTACGTATTTATTCTGAGAGAGAGTGTGCACGCGCCCAATGCGTGTGAGCAGGGGAGGGGCAGAGAGCGAGAGAGGGAGAGAGAGAATCCCAAGGAGGCTCTGCACTGTTAGCACAAAGCCTGATGTGGGGCTCAGACTCACAAATCGTGAGATCGTGACGTGAGCCAAAACCAAGAGTTGGATGCCTAACCGACTAAGCCACCCAGGCGCCCCAAGATTTTATTTTTAAGTAATCTCTGCACCCAACGTGGGGCTCGAACTCACAACCCAGAGATCAAGAGTCACATGCTCCACTGGCTGAGCCAGCCAGGTGCCCATCTGTACTTCATTTATAATAAACTTTTCCTTTTGGAATAATGTTATTTATGGAAAAGTTGCAAAGATGGTTTGGACCATGGCCGTGCCTCCTTGTCCCGGCTTTCCCTGACATTAGCCCCTTATAACCGCGGGGCCGTGATCCCCGAACGTTGTCGTGGTCACAGCTCTGTGAACTACTCTACGGCCTTTGTTCAGACGTCCCCGGCTTCTCCACGGATGCTCTTCTGTCTCAGTGTCCAGTGCAGGACCCCACGGTCACTCAGAGTCCCCTTCGTGTTCAACTGCACCAATGACAATAGGATCCTAACGCTTGGGGTTTGAAGCAGGAAGACTGACCTCCTGCGTTTGAAGCTCCCTTTCCAATCTGATTTTCTTTGATTCTAATACAGAAAGACTACATGAGAGAAAGAGACGAAAATTTCCCCTGCTTATGTTAAAGAGCTTTTGAGTAACCAGGGATCGCCGGACGTCCAGCCCATACCGACAGAAGGAAACCCTTAGCTATCTTTCTTAGAGATGCAGAACTCCTGTAACTGGAAAGTTCTTCCTACATTCCAAATTAAGTCCTTTCTGTGGCCGTGGTAAAAATTAAAAATGTAATCGCGAGTGTGGCTTGACCTGTCCTGAGGGTCAGGGACCTGGTGGGGAGCTTGGTGGCCATCGGAGGAGAGGGCGAGGACCACAGGCGGGTGGTCTCCAGCTGTGGCAGGAGAGACGGTGAGGTCTGGGGTGGTGGGGGGGCTGGCTTCTCCAGGACACCCCTTCTGTTCACTGTGCGAGTCGGAGGGAGGCCTGAGGCTGGGGGCGTCTCTGCTCAGATCTGCCTCACGCAGTGTGGATAACATTGGACCTGGTTTAGCCGCAGATGCCTGGAAATTGAAGTCGGGATCCCAGAACCTAAAAACTTGTCAAAAAATCCCCCAAAAAAGACCTCTCAGAAAAAGTGGCCGTTACACCGCAGAGAACACATCAGCTTCCTTGTGCCCGCTAAACCTTCACGTTGAACATGTGCTTTTATATTTAAAATTGTTTCCCTTTTCGTATCAGTGGGGGGAAGCTGGGTTTGAAGACAGCACATGCAGTTTCCGGAAAGCATCACTCTGTCCGTGACCTTGGGGGCAGCCAGCCCCGCAGGGTCCGGGGAGATGCCAGTGTGCCTGTGGGGGGAGCCCCACACCGCCCCGGCTCTGCCTTCAAAGGGCTCCCCTGGGCTGGCCCGGGCTCTCTGGGGACACCCTCCCCCCTGTGTCTGTGTGGGGCCGGTTCACACACAGGCAGAAGTGCATCCAGCACTTTCCAGAATCTGAGAAGCTCTAGAACCCTGTTCCAGTTTTGGGGAACTCCAATTTGTATAGAGTTCTTTCTTCCACTGATGAACGCTTTCACTTCCTCAGACTTCTCTCCTCCGGGGCCCTGCTGGGGCTAAGACCTAACCCTCCCCTGTCGCAACACGGGGCCTGGAGGCGTCACCACTGCTGGTTATGTGTCTTTGGCTTCAGTGGCAATTAATACCTCTTCTTTTGTTAACTTGTTCTCTCTTTTGTTCTTTGTCTGGGGCTGGTCAGGGGCACCCTGTGCGGTGGTGGGGCCCCTGGTGGGCATATAACTCAGGTCCCCCCTGTGCACTTCCTGGAGACCGGACCCGGGGGCCCCGCCTCCCACGGGGGCTGCTGGGGCGCACTCGGCCCTGGGCTTCCAGAACCCCGTTCCCTGGCTCACAGAGAAAGCCCAGCTGAAGAAGGAGGGAAGGAGGCCAGCAAACAGGAGGGAGAGGGGAGAATACAGCTGGGGTGCACAAGGAAGAGGGGGGCCCCTCACAGGCGCTGAGGTTGGGGGCTTGCAGCTGTTCCAGTTGTGGAAGCCAACACCTCATCCCCCCCCCACCCCCTGCCCCGCCGTGTCTCTCCCTCCCTTCCTCCTCTCCCTCCAAACCTCCCCCTCCCTCCATCTCTCCCTCTCCCCCTCCTTCTCTTTCCCTCCCTCCTCCCCCCTTCCCCCCTCATTCCAAACCTCCCCTCCCTTTCTCCCTCTTCCTCTCTCCCTCTGTCTCTCCCTCCCCCTCTCTTTCTCGCCCTCTCTCTCTCTTCCTCCTTTCTGGCTCTCTCTCTCTCACTTTCTCCCTCCCTGCCCTTTCTATCTTTTGAGCTAGGTTGACGTCCCTTGTAGTCTGGCAGTGTCTGTCCTGAGCCGTATGCTGTTGTCACACTGTTGTGAAAGCTGAGGGAGATAGTGTGCGTAAGCCCCTGACATCCGTGAATATTAACTCTGTTGATACCCCCCAGTTCCTTATTTTCTAGCGTACGTAACAACGTCTATAGCTTCTTTGACTCAAAACAGGGCACATCCCCCTTCTCGCTGAACTTGGAGCATGGCCACGGCCCTTTGCTTCCAAAAGACACCAGATAAATGTTGTTCAAAGGTCTGGGCGTTTCGGTAAAATCTTGGCATGCGGTATGTGATCCTTCCTTCCACACTGCCTGTTGAGGCGGACACCGTTATTATCAACGTTTTATAGGTGAAGACGCCGCGGAGGAGAGGCGGGGTGGGGTGCCCAAGGCCGCGCGGGCGGGAGGTTGGAGGACCGGGATCCGAACCCAGAGCCCCTGCTTCCGATTTTGTTACTTAATGTCCTGGGGCCCGCGAGTGTGCTCATGCCAACCCAGAGGACGGCGTTCGGAGCGAGCGGTCGATCATCCCGGTACACCTGTCACGTGTCCTTACGGTTCAAAATACAGATTAATCCCTTCGTGTCAGTTCCACAAGTGATAGGGATGCTATTGCAACCGCAGACACGGGAGGAAAGGAAAGTGTCCCCTGTGATGGCTCCTCCTCCGTGCGGTCACTCCCGCAGGCAGGTGCCGTTCTCACCTGGGGCAGGCCGCCCCGGTCCAGGGCTGGTGACCCCCCTGGTCCCAAACCAGAAGTGCTCCCTGGGGCGCAGGGTGGTCTAGACGAGTGGGGCCACTGTCCTCCCTCTTGTGGGACCAAAGACGCACCCAGATTAGAATAACGCTCACGTTCACACTTGGAAGTCCACGGCTGTTTTCACACAGCTGTTCAGACTTGCGCCTGGGAATTACATTTTCGGATCCACTTACCAAGCACTGGGACTGTGATTG